GCTCTTGTGTCCGATACCTTGACTAGGGCCTTGGTGAGTTGGTCTAAACGCATCTTGTTCGATGTTCTTGAAGCGATTAATCTTGTGGTACCACACAAAATCATCTTTTGGTGGCGCAGGTGGTGACCAAGAAACAACCGGTGCATGTCGAGCTCCCGTTGTAGTCTCAAAGTGTAGTTGTATCACCAGCAGAATTATAAGAAAACCAGACAAAACTTTGGCTGAAAAACAACGATTCACCATCACTGAGAACTTTAGGTTTTGGTTATTATTAAGATCTTAAACCTAAGAACCTTTTAAAGTGTATGCTTAAGTGGTTGTCTGGTTGAATGCTTCTCACAAAAAATAAAGAGAGAAGTGTGAAATTTAAGAAGGAACGAAGGGTAGAGGACCCTTATATAGCTAGTGCTTGAAGTAAGAGTATATTCTTAAATACCTCTTTTGAAAGTGGGCAAGGAGGTGTACTGTGTACTAGCACTAAAAGACTTGACCGTTATATTTACTGTCTACATATAGACACATACATAGGGTGCCGTCCGGTTCAAATGTTACAGACTACATATACACCGTACCACAATTAATAATATATAAATTTTCTACTTATATATGTTTTTGTTATTATTAGAACAGCACCGCAGTAATTCCACGTGTTTTTATTCATTTTATGTTTCAAGTTTTAGTTAAACATCTAACTTCTTTTAATTTGGAGGTTGAGTATACATGCCCCTTGATAAGAAGAGTTTTAAGCATTCTAACCATAGAAAAGACACCCAATTTGCAAAAAAAAACACCCAAAATCCAAATTTGAATGATCTCATGTATGTATTTACTTAGGAACAAATTGTATGATCTTGTGTTATTTTCAGGGCATCTGATAACATGAACAAATAGAACGATCAAACAAGACTCGAATCTAAAAATAAAATAAAATAATTTTTTTTGTAAAAGTAAACATATAAATTATGCTCTATTTTATTTTATTTTATATATTTCTAAGTTTAGAGCTTATAAATCTAAAAGAAATATCAACTATATATAAATAGAGCTATATTTTTTTTAAAAAAAATACTTCATTACGTAGTTAAATATACTTTTAATATTTTTAAACAGAGCCCATAAATAATTTAGACGCATCAAATATTTTAGATAAAGAAACATTTTCTTCTGTCAAAAAAAAATTATATATATATATATATATCCATACCTTTTTCAAAAAAAATTAAAAAAATAAATAAATATATATATATATATATGCATATATCCCGTACGTATAATTGTATTGAGTAAAGCTGGTCCTATGTTACTGTATTAACACATGGATCACATTAACTGTCCGCCGTATTATACCTTGCACGCTTTAGTTTTTGGCTTGAAATAAAGAGAAAGAGTATTCGCCGTCGAATATTTTCCAAAAATGGAAAGTTTTATGCTCATTGATCGCATATTTTCTAAGCCATTCATCAAAAGAAGCGCGGGCATTGTTCTTGATAAGACAACCCTATGACAAATACATATATCTACGTATTATTAATATTAGTTAGGTTCGCGCGGTATGTATATATATATATATTTTTTTTGATCAAAAGCGGTATGTATATTTGTTCAGTCTGATCAAAGCGTTTTTTTTGGTGCGTAAAATGATCAAAACATTTTTTTGGTGGGTAAAATGATTCAAAGCGTTTTGTTTGCGTTCTCTCTATATAAATAAACTATTTGCTATATATATTATGGATTTTAATATAATATATACAAGTCTAAACACAGTTAATTTCTTTTATAATTTTCAATTAAGCGACTTTTCTATTTGATTTGACATTTTAAATCACGTCTAGGAGATCTAAACGTTTAGTATGATTTAATAGATAGTTTGAAATTTCATGAAAATTAGGTATTATTCAACTTTGCATTATTTTTGTTGGTAACAAGTTTTGTATATTGAAAGATTTAAAATAAATTTTAATTTTCATGTATTATCGCAGAAATAGCAAATTATGGTACGTACAATCCAGATTCTACAGTTTTCATCACACATGAATATTTAAGATTTTCAAAAATTAAATACTGAAGTATTACAAACATGCATGATGATGACTGCTTCGAATTCTTTGTACATGTTTTTTTTGCATGATGTCCACTCCCTTTCTTTTCATTACATTGCCAAAACAAATACTGTAAACATGTAATTCCGAGTTCGGCGTAGAAACTTATTTATCTAAATGTTGAATACAACACCCGATTAAGTCCTTGTTATTAATATATTATTTTCACCACAAATATTCGAACAGGTAGAATCACAGGTCTTTTTGTCAAAGATGCGTAGAGTTGTACATAGGCTAGACTTCACTTCGAGATTTGGAAATGATTAGCGTTTGTGGTATGAAAAGAAAAAAAAGGAGAATAAAAAAATAAATTAAAAGTAGATTGATTATATAAACATATATTTTAAATAAAAACATCATGCGAACTTTGAATTCCAGCCAGACAGAATAGAAAAAGAATTATTAGCAGTCACCATCACAAAGATTAAGTCTTTTTCGGTTAAGGAAACCCTTACCTCAAATGGTCTATTCAAAGGAACCCTCACATAAAAGCTAAGTGGCAATACATATTGATCATATATTCGATTCCACGTACGTTTATATTCACAAAAAGACTACTTTAATTTCTGTATCTCGAATCTTGCAAACTCAGACCATTATTCTAAATCAAATCATAACTTTATATCACACGATATGAAAAATAAAGAATAACAAAAATTCATATTTCTACCTTTTTTTGTCGAAAGCTAGGGTACTCATAGAGTCATAGTTACATGTTTCAATATAAACTAGAGTTTCACCCGCACATTCGTGCGGGTATATTTTTTATTTTATAAATATATAACTAAAAATTTTAAATATATGATTTATATTTTAGTTTTAACTATAATTATATATAATAAGTTATTTTATAAAAATAATATTTAAATTTTTGATAAGATCTTGTTAGATTTTTTCAACAGATTTTGTTGTATTTAAATTCATTTATTATTAATATATTTATTAATTATTAAGATATTTTTAAAATAATATATATTTGACTGGTTAATGTAACAATCAAAATATGTCAAATTAAATAATTAATGACATGGTCCAATATGACTTCTAAATAGTAGATAAATTTGGTACTTCTCTTTTAATAGAGAAGATTTAGTGTGGCCATATTCTATATTTTGCAGGAAATCAGTTACCATGGGTCCGTTTTTAGATAAAAAATCACTTGTAAATAAAAAGAAGAAATATGGTAAATTTAGAATATCAATGTGAGAATTTTTTTTTTTTTTTTTTTTTTTTTTTTTTTTGAGAAAGGGCTTAACATGATTTTCTGAAAACTTTTCCAATAGGATGCTTAAATCAGCATGTTACCTTAGAAAATCTTGACAACTCATCTGCTAGTAATTACGTATCATGTTNTTTTTTTTTTTTTTTTTTTTTTTTTTTTTTTTGAGAAAGGGCTTAACATGATTTTCTGAAAACTTTTCCAATAGGATGCTTAAATCAGCATGTTACCTTAGAAAATCTTGACAACTCATCTGCTAGTAATTACGTATCATGTTATTTTTTTGTCAAAAAATTACATTATTAACATGCTAAACATAATTAAGATAAATATTGTGGCTTAAAAATTCCAAAACCAAATTATGCATACCACTACAGATTCGTCTAAACTTACTATACACATAACACTATATGAGAGATTGAGAGTCACTATAAAACTCACACTTAAAGTTCTTTTGTGATTTACATTTGATAAAGTAAATCTGTTACTAAAAGTTACTTTGAAAAGCGTTTTTTTTCTTTAACAACGAAACACCTTAAAAAATACTTTGTGAAATGGAAAAGTAAAAGTGCATTACAGTTTAAAAGATGATTAACATTCCTACAAATACAGTTTAATCTTTTTAACTACAAAATAGGCTGTCACATGATCAAAAAGTAGAAAAGAAAGCAACTGTAGTCTGAAAAAGAGAGCGAGTATAAGATGGGCCAAGTATAATGGGTATCTCATAAATGATAGTCAGTCACGAAAGCCCATTTCATCAATCATGGAGCCATAGATTTGTAAAGGTGACAGACACCAATGGTCTAGAAGACAGTAAGAGCAGGTTTATCCCGGACACCGAAAAAGGGGACGCTTAAATTTTTTTTTTTCTGATTAAAAAAAGTAAAATAAAATGCAATTAATCGCGGGCCGTCACGTATCGTGGACCCGCATAACAACTCAAGTATCCAGAAAAATTCGACGTTTATTTAGGCATCAAAAGCGTCAACTTTTGTTTCTTTATGGCCCCCTTTACCTTTTCCCCCTAAACACCCTAACCCCCCTGCGATGAACCTGCTCTAAGCCGACGGTCCACTGATTAACCAATGTATAAAATTTGTAAAGATGCTAGCCACCCATAGTCAGAGACAATAAGCCAATTCCCCCCTGATTCTCCAGTTTTAAATTTGGTCTATGAGTTAAATGCACTCCTAAACAGATTGTTGGTACTTACTTGAACAATAAACAATGTCATAATGTCTATGCAGGTTTGAGAAAATGCTATACAGGAAGTAACACTTGATAAGACTTCATGGTGGGTCCAATTCAAAGTGCCAGCACATGGAGTGGCTATCTAATTTTTGTAAACATATCCTTTTGTGACATTTAGCCAAAAAACTTTGATTTATTTATGGGAAAGTTACAGATTCGTGGAACACAGAAACTTTTGTTGGTTTCTGACATTGTTTTTTTCCTTCTATGGTAGCTTTCTTAATCTGCATAAAAATCTTATTACTAAGTCTGTTTCTTTCATCCCCACATGGTTAAAGAGACAAGAAGAGGATTGTGCGAGGTGGAGTTTCTTCATGGTCACAGTCTGCATGGGTCCTCCTCTCTGATGATAACATTATTCCTTAATGATAATATATATTTTTTCCTTTTTTTGTGGTCCAACCTCTGATCTTTTAATAAAACTAATATGGCTTTTAAGATGAAATATACCAGAAGAAGCTTGTATACTTCTTCTAACATCTGTTCATATCTAAAAATTATAGCTTAGGGGGCTCAACATAGGTGTGAGTTTTAGTCATGATCATTAATTATATTTATGTTTCGATATTTGAAAGAGCTTATGCTAAACTTTGTAAATTTCAATATTTTCAGGAATGATGTCATATAATGGCTTAGAAGCTTGCATCAACAACAATCAATCTTTACAAGGAGAAAGTGGAAGAAGCCGAGGAGATGAGTGCTTGACTGAATCATTGGATGATGATGCATTTTCAAGCTGTTCATCTAGCAAAGATACATCCGAGTCATTTTCTTCAAAATGGTTACCTAAGAAAAGTGGTAAACATAGTTCTGATGAGTGTGACTTTGAGACAAGTCCTAAACATTTCTACTCTAAGGAGAAGAGACATGGCTATACACTCTGCTCTTCTGACGTGGAAGCCATGAAGGAGAAGTTTTCAAAGCTATTACTCGGTGAAGATGTCACAGGAGGATGCAAGGGTGTGCAAACCGCTTTGGCTTTATCAAACGCTATAACTCATCTTGCCAGTATGTTTTTAATTTATTTTGCATTTTTGATACAATATGGTATCATTACTTCTTTTGCTAACTATTGGATTTGCAGCCTCAGTATTCGGTGAGCTATGGAAGTTGGAGCCATTGTCTGAAGACAACAAGCAGAGATGGAGAAGAGAAATGGATTGGTTACTCTCACCATGTAGTCACATGATTGAGCTAGTCCCATCTAAGCTTGTAGATGGCAAAAACGGAACATCATTTGAGGTACATAGCTAAGTTGTTTTCAAAAAAAAACATACACTCCACATTCCTAGCAAAGAACCTGAACTAGATCTCCTGTTTTGATCAGATAATGACACCGAAACCCCGTGCAGACATTCATATGAATCTCCCAGCTCTCAGGAAACTAGACTCCATGCTGATTGTATGTTCTCCTTCTCTTTTTATCAGAAGTTTAACTTCTTGTTTCTTTCTCCTAATCTTGATGAAAGCACAGGAGACACTGGATTCTATGGTGAACAAAGAGTTTTGGTACTCAGAAGTAGGTCGTAGGTCAGAGAGCAGTAGATGGTGGCTTCCATCGCCTAAAGTTTCTAAAACAGGGCTCTCTAGCTTAGGAAGAAAGAACTTGCTTGAGAAAGGCAATGTTGTTTATCAAATCTTTAAAGCTGCAAAGTCAATAAATGAAGAAGTGCTTCTTGAAATGCCAGTACCTACCATTATCAAGGATTCGTTACCTAAGGTAAAAAACAGCTTGGTGTTAACTGTTATGTAAGCTGTTATGTCAAAAAGTAATATATATATTTTTCTCCACAGACTGGAAAGTCAAGCCTTGGGGATGAACTGTTCAGGATGTTAGCTTCAGAGTCTACTTCGGTAGATGAAATCTTTGTGTCTCTTAGGATTAGAACCGAACATGGAGCTCTAGAGACAGTTAATAGGTTAGAAGCAGCTATCTATGCATGGAAAGAGAGGAGTGCAGAACAAGAAAGTAGTGGCAGATCTCAGGTACGAGCGTCTTGGTCATTAGTTAGAGACTCGTTGTCTGAGATTAGTCGCATTAAGTCACTCATAAACAAGGCAGAGAGGCTTAATGGTCAGATTAAATCTAAATTCTCTAATCTCCCTCATTCATTTCTTGATGCTACCAAGATTCAATATGGCAAGGTAAGTGGACTATCATAACTAGTAGTGTTACTATAATTTCATATCAGTTGCTATCTAATGACCTTTGCAAATATTGGTTCAGTTCTTGAGGCTTTTTGCTCTGTTTTCAGGATATTGGTCATGCAATTCTTGAGGCATATTCACGTGTACTTGCGAGTTTAGCGTTCCGCTTACTCTCCAGGATTCGAGAAATCTTGCAAGAAGATGCTCTGAGTTCACCTGCAACATCAAGCTGCTTCTCTGGGACTAATGACATGTTCAGAACCCCAGAGAGGCTCCTGGTCTCGTCTCGCTTAAGGCATTCCCTCATTCACGACATCAACAAAGCTGATGATGGTACAATGAATAGTCTTGACTTTCTCAGCGCAGATCCTTAAGGCAGTAGTTTGTATTTGATATAAGAGCGCTCCGCAGTCTGAAGCTTCTCGTTTGTTCAGAGGGTTTGCTCTTTGATCATGGACATGTATTAACATAACCCCATTTTGAAATCATGTATAATTATGAAGTATGCAATGTTATCCACATTGTAATCTTATCTTCATGAATCATGATTATATAATGAGATTATACACTAATAATTTATCAAGGAGAGCCTTTGTGTTACATGCTTCCAAAGTGTACTATTATATAACATCAGTACTAAATGAATTTTAGATCCCATTCTATTTCTCCACAAAACAAAAGATATAAACTTAATTACACAGAAATAAAACTTCAAAACTTGTAAACACAAAATTTTGTACTCTAAAATAAAAGTTCAAAACTTGGTTTAGGATAAGCAATTGTTTAGTTTTTTCTGTTGAAGTTAGCAATTGTTTAGTATTTTTTTTTTATTTTTTTACTGAAGCAATAGTTTAGTGGATTTATTATTTGTTGGTAAATGAAAACATATAAAACTGAAATATTTTTTGTGGAGAAATATATGTATAACTATTATTTGATGAAAATTTTAGATTCTAAACTTCATGTAAAACTAATATATTATGGAGAAAATATATCGTTTACCTCCTATACATGCTCAGAGATGATAAAATATCTAAATCGCCCAAAGTCTTTAAGATACGTTTTGATAAATCAATGATATTAATTCCTCACATCCCCACTAACCTCACGTTAAATTATCAGCCTTAATGAAAAAATTAAAAACTAATCAAATTGCCTTTCAGACTTACACCTCCTGCTCACATAAGCTATAACTCCTCACCGTTTCAGTCTCTTCCCTTTCTCATTCCCTTTGTGTATAAATACACTTCTCCACTTACACTCTTTACACCACAAAACTCTCTGTACTCAACATGGCAAACTCTATTCTCTTCGTTACTATCTTCTTCTTCTTCTCAATGACTCTCTCTTCTTCATTCACTAACCCAAAACACCTCACCCTCGAGCTCATCCACCGTGACTCTCCTCATTCCCCTCTCTACAACCCAAATACCACCCTCACCGACCGTCTCCACTCCTCTTTCCTCCGCTCCATCTCTCGTTCCCGCCGCTTCACCCACCAAACCGATCTCCAGTCCGGTCTAATAGGAGCAGGTGGAGAGTTCTTCATGAGCATCACCATCGGCACACCACCAGTGAACATCCTCGCGATAGCCGACACAGGAAGCGACCTAACTTGGGTCCAATGCAAACCGTGTCAACAATGTTACAAAGAGAACGGTGCAATCTTCGACAGCAAGAAATCCTCTTCTTACAAAAGCGAGACTTGCGAGTCACGTCACTGTAACGCTTTGTCTACCAACGAACGTGGATGCGACGAAGGTAAAGATGTTTGTAAGTACCGTTACTCGTACGGAGACCAGTCTTTCACGAAAGGTGACGTTGCTACGGAGACTATCTCTATTGGTTCTGCTTCAGGGTCCCCTGTTTCTTTTCCCG